GTTTGATTTTTAAAGGCATAAATAAAAATACTGCTTTTTGTTGCAATCTGGCAGAATTAAATTATTTCCCTTTTTAACAGGTTTATATAACCTTGTCTTTTCTACCCAAAATAACAAACTTCAGGTTAGTACTGAGCAGCTTCAAATATTCCTTAAGAAAAAAGCAGTGTACTCAAGTGGTTTTTGCCAATAAAATATTGCAACCTTTATTTAAAACAAAATGCAAATTGGCAAAACTTTGTGGAACGACAGGCAAAGAGGCCCTTCAAAGGGCCTTATTTACATCAAGTTTAACACTGTTCGCAGTTCACAGTCAGACGATAGTGAGAGAATTAAATTAGAAAAACAACCAAAATATATTACAATAACAATTAAAAACAAAAACAGTTGACAACACTGGTAGAGTGATTGGTGATTAACGTGTTTCATTTTAATCCACTCCTGCCCTCAACGAGTTCACTACTGACACAAACAGCGTGCTGAGCCGATCGGGCTTTACCTCCCGTGCACAACCGACACATTTGGAAGAATGACCTCCTTTGGTACAGACATTTCTTACTGTGTAGGTATTAAAAATTAGAGGTTATGGGACACCTGACATTTCCTACCACCAGGGAGTAGGCTGACTGTTTTGTTCCACGCTACAGGCAATGGGAGTGCAACCCCAGCGCCCAGCCGTGGCACCGCGCTGCGGGGGGAGGTTTCTGAGTATGCTGGAGTCGCTACCCTTTGGTTTTCCTGCCAGCAGCAGGGCTGGGTTGAGCGTTTTGAAGAGAAGAGAGCAGCCTGTTATGTTTGCAAAAAAAGATCCTCCGGATTCATCAGGGCTTGTCACAGCTGCTGATGCCCAAGAGCACCGACAAGCAAAGTGCGGAGCGCCTCGGCTGCTGGGGAAGCCTGCCTTAGGCAAGCAGTACGGGCATCAGGGTCTGGATTTCTCCACTCTGGCTGCACGGCATAATCCATCCTACCTGCTCGCACACCCGCTGCCTGCAGAGAGCAGTGTGCCATAAAATTTGCACAAGCACACCTGACCGGATGTCAATGTGTGTGTTTGACCGTGTCTCACTGACACAAGGCCGGTGGTGGTCATGAGAAATGTCCTGTGTGAGGAGGACAGGAACACACAGCCCCCCCCCCCGCTTCCCCGTTGTGTTCTGCATCAGCAACACTGCTCCATTCAGTTCTGCTTTCCCAGCGGCTAAATTTGATGCAGTCCCAAGACCCAGACTCTTAATTCAGCTTCACCCCTGTCTGCACTAATGAAAAACTTGATTAAACCAAAGTGCTGCCAGTCATACAGCCGAGTGCACCACTTAGGGTGTTAGAACGGGTGCACCGTGCAGGAAGAGGCTTGCACCTGTGAGTCGGCTAATTCCCCACAGTGGCTAGGAAGAGAAAGTGCCCCACGTCAACTCACTCGTGTGAGCGCATGCTTTGTGCTTGGCAATTGCCAGGCCCTATGTGATGCCATCCCCTGTTGCAAAGACTACCTCAAATTCTAGCCCATACTAGTGCAAGTGAGAGCCCGGCTGCAATTGCATCCTTACCCCACGAGGCCTTCTGACAGTGATGAGGAAAGGAAACACAACTGGAGTTTATGCCTTGTCCCCCACCCTAAACAGTGGAGCAAGACGTGCTCTTCACTGGGACAAATAATGGGGCTTCACCATCCTTACATTACTTTGAACATACTGTGCAAGGCTGAGAGCGGAGAAGCTGCTACAGTAGAGCCCGTCAAGGCTGAACAGAAAGCCAAACCCTGCAAAAGCGAGAAGGAATGGTAACAATTTTAAGAGAGCACCTGTGGAAGGAAGAACAACTGAATGGTGACTTAGAGCACGACAGCTTTCCCAGGTATCATCCTTTTGCCTCGCTGCCAGAGGGCAAGGAAGAATTCCAGTTTGGGAATAAAACACTGTTGAGCAGCAGAAGCAGCACCAATTCTGCAGCCTCGCATTCAGGGGGAAAAAAAAAAACCCAACCACCAACAGTTGTCAAGTCAGCACTACCGCTGCCACCATCTACCTACCGGATGTAAGACAAGAGGTAAGGGCAGAAAACACTCTCTGTAGGAGTGATGAGTGTTCTGTGTTCTTCCACCCCCAGGAGGGATCAGAACTGAATGGGCTTCTGTGTTGCTCACACGAGGCTGTGGAGTCTCCATCCTTGGAGATGTCTGGACATGGTCCTGGGCAGGTGGCTTTAGATGGCCAGGGGGAGGTCGGGCCAGGTGACCTCCAGAGGTCCCTTCCAGCCTCAGCCACTCTGTGACTCCATAAAAGCAGATGGCTGCTTCAGCTGCGTTACTGCCCTGCTCTGTCCCACTGCCCATCACCTCTGTCAGGCGGGCAGGGAGGAGAAATCAGGGGGCAACTGAAAAGAACTGCGGATGACCAGTAGACGGAAACCAGTCCTTCGTTGGGGCACAGTTAGTTTCTTCAGAAAGGGCTGAAAGAGGGGAGTTTTAGTAATTAGAAATTCCAGGAATTGTTTGCTATTCTATCACTTTTGCTGGAGCTTTTTGGGAAGATTGGCATTCAGGAAAAAAAAAAAAAAGAAAACAGCTTCTTTCAAAATACTCATCAGAACTGGACTAACAGCCTTAAAATTTTCTGGTTAAAATACCTTTCCCCTGAGAATCATTTCCGTTTCAGACCATTCGTTCTAGGCTGAGTAGTAGTACAAGGATAAAACCACGCGATTGTCTGCCAGGGCAAACAAAGACCTGCCCTTCTGCCCCGAAGAAAGCTCCCATACCTTTTAAATCCTCTTGATTGTTTGAAAGGCCATGTGAAGCAATACCACAAGCCTTCTTCCCTTTGCAGGTCACCTTTCCAAAGGCAGTTAGTTTGGTGTGCAGTGATGCACACCTTCAATAAAGATGACTGAAAGAGATAAGGTAAACCACAAAAGCCCTCAGTAAAGTCTGCAAGATAACAGTTTGGAACTCTGCCTTACAGCTGAGCGTTGCTGTGACAGAGCCCCGGCCAGGCTCCCCCAGCCCGCTGACCTGAGGGCTGCAGGAGAGCCTGGGCAAGCTGAAGGTCCTACTGCAGAACTAGACAGCTGGGTAGGCTTGGTACTGCTACGTCAGGATGAGTAACCCACACGGTACTT